AGGAAGAAATAGGGAACACTCTCGAGGAGGTAATGAATAAAATACTTCAGGAAGGAGACATTCCAGAGTCATGGAGATCTGCCGAAATTACTCTAATCCACAAGGAGGGCTCAGATAAAGAAGATATTAGAAACTACCGCCCTATCTCCTTGCTAAATAATGATTATAAAATCTTTTCAACCATTATGGCCAATAGATTCAAGACCTTCTTAGCAAACTGGATAGGAGAGGATCAAAATGGCTTTTTGCCCAACAGAAACATCAAGGACAATGTAAGATCTATCCTCGATACAATTGAATACTATGAAACCCACCATCAGAAAGAGATAGCATTCCTGGCCATCGACGCCGAGAAAGCGTTTGATAACATCCGCTGGGATTTTTTCAAATTGCTATTCCAGGAAATGGACTTTGGGTTCCAATTTAGAAATGCTATTGAGGCTATCTATAAAGATCAAAAAGCAAAACTAGTTATAAATGGAATTACATCAGAGGACTTCCCAATCAAAAAAGGCACTAGGCAGGGCTGCCCTTTATCCCCCCTAATTTTCATCTTTGCTCTAGAAGTCCTTCTTAAAGAAATAAGGGAGGATGAAGTTCTAAGGGGTCTGAAAATAGACAAACAAGAGCTAAAACTCAGAGCTTTCGCAGATGACATCATATGCGTGGTAGAGAACCCAAGGGAAACAATACAACTGTGGCTCGACAAAATTGAAAAATATGGAGAGGCTGCGGGGCTCAAACTAAATAGAAGGAAAACTATGTTACTAACAAAAAACATTTCAAAAACAAACCAGAAGAAACTAGAAAATCTATCAGGAATTAAAATAGTAAATAAGATTAAGTATTTAGGAATCTGGGTCACTCGGAGAAATCTAAACCTACTAGAAAACAACTACATGGAAAAATGGAAGGAAATTAAGAAGGAGATGGAAATATGGAAGAAACTAAATTTATCACTGCTAGGTAGAGTAGCAGCCATAAAAATGAACGTCCTCCCTAAATTGCTCTATGTCTTTCAGAACCTCCCTATCATCAGAAATCTCAAGATCTTTAGAGAATGGAACAAAGAGATCACAAAGTTTATTTGGAAAAATAAAAGACCCAGGATTAAACACAAGATAATGACAATGCCAACCCATAAAGGGGGATTCGGTCTCCCGGACTTACAAGCATACTATGATGCCAGTGCACTAACCTGGATCCGCGACTGGACCAAATTACAGAATATTAAGATCTTAACTATTGAAGGGTTCGACCTCCGAAAGGGTTGGCATGAATACATATGGTATGATGGGACTAAGAAAGAAGGAAACTTTGGAAACCATTTCGTAAGGTCTGCCCTGATCAAGGTTTGGGAAAGACACAAAAAATACTTTTTCCAAAAAACCCCTCTATGGATCTCACCCCTTGAGGCGAAACATCGCAGACTCCTGGGCTGGGTTTCCTGGCCCTCCTACAAAGATATCCTCTTTAAAATGAATGGCTCCTGGGAGCTTAAAACCCAAAAAGAAATAGCTCAAAATTTTAAGAACATCTCATGGCTACAATACGCCCAGATTAAGGAAAGCTATAAGGAGGACAGGAAGCTAGGCTTCGGGGAGGAAACAGATCTATGGGACAAGCTCCATAAGAAGGGAAAAAAAGTTATAACATTCATATACCAAAATCTGTTGGGGTGGGCAACCGAAATGGAGACTATTAAAAACTCAATGGTCCTTTGGGCAAGAAATATAGGGAGAACCATCCACTTAAAAGAGTGGGAGACCATCTGGAAGAAAAGACTTAAATATACCTACGCCTCGGACCTAAAAGAGAACTGGTTGAAAATGCTACACCGTTGGTATCTGACCCCACAAAAGATAGCGAGAATGTATGGAAATGYDGACAACAGGTGTTGGAAGTGTAAAACTAATGAAGGGTCTTTCTATCACCTATGGTGGCAGTGTCCAAAGGCGAGAGAGTTYTGGAAGACCATACATAACGAATGTAGGAAAATCCTTAAGATAAATTATCCAATRTGTCCAGAAGCGTATTTATTAGGAATGYACGATAAYTCTGTTTTTCCCGATACTAACTCAGAAAAGTTGTTTACCTTCTTAGCAACCGCAGCCAGGATGACATTCGCCAGCTKGTGGAAGCAAGACAAGATACCCACCATTAGGCAATGGCGGGATAAAGTCCTGGACATCCAGGAAATGGATGAGCTGACGTTCTGGCTAAGACAGAACAATGGAAGAGGATCTGTGATGACCAACTGGAGCTTGTTTAAGACTTATATGGAAAAGGAAATACAGCAATAGGAAATTATTAATGTCTGAAAAATGGAGGATGATATAGATGTAATAGAAATACAGTATTATGAAATGATATAACAATGAATGAAAATGAGGGGAAGTCGGTTTTAACGCTAGAGAGGGGAGGGGGAGGGGAGAGGAGGGGGGAGGAGATGAGGGTTCGTTGGGGTCATTGTTTGTAGGTGTTATCACGACATGTCTGCTCTGTCTATTGTAACCTGCACTCCATGTTTGTACGTTATATGTATGTAGGTGGTATAACTCATGCTTGTCTTCTCAGTGTAATGCTTTATATGTCTTATCTTTTTATATGACAAACTCAATAAAATATTATTTATATAAAAAAAGAAGGCTTCTGATGTAACACACACATATAGACATGCACTGCCATTGTAGTTTTTTTATGGATAAGAATGTTTAAGAAACCCAAAATTTGCAAATCCTTGTGTGAAGTATTCTGTTCCGCACTCCCAAACTAATGAGCCCATTGCAACATTGCTACTCTTAAGTTTTCCTATTTCTTTGAGAACTGTAACAAAGTTTTTGGCTAAAAACAATCAGAAAATATGAAATACAAATGTTGTGCCAATAAAGTTCAGAAATAATATTAGGGAATTGGTTTTGTTTTGCTTGGAGAAGACTGATAGGTGACACGATATCTAAAAGGTTGTCCTTTAGAAGATGGGGTGAGTTTGTTTTCTGCTGCTCCAAAGACTAGAACATGAACCAATGGAATCAAATTACAATAAAAGAGACTCCACTTAAATATTAGGAACAACTTGCTGTAAGAATGCATAGAGCTCCCCTATGAACTACCTCTGAGATTAAGATCATCTGGGGAGGCCCTCCTCTCGGTCCCCCCTCTTAGCCAGCACGACTGGTGGGAACGAGAGATAGAGCCTTCTCAGTGGTGACCCCTCCACTATGGAACTCCCTCCTTAGCAACATTAGATCAGCCCCCCCTCCCACCTAGCCTTCAAAAAGAGGGTAAAAACTGGTTCTGGGATAAGGCTTTCAGAGAAAAGTGCAGTGCAACAATATAACTGGAATACGTTCAATGACTACCGAACAGCCTTAGACTACGATTTTTGGGTGGCATTATTTTAATATTGAATGTAATTTTTAAATGTTTAATATGTATTCATTTTAATTCAATTGATTTTAAGCTTGATGTTTATATATGTTTAAGGCATTGAATAATTGCCATATGTAAGCCGCCTCAAGTCCTCCTTGGGGTAGAGGAAGGCAGGGTTCAAATAGGGTAAATAAATAAATAAATACATTCTACTATTTATAGAATACACTATGTTTGGGGGTGAAGGTCTTTAAACAAGGGTTGTTTAAAGGATGGAATGAGCATCTTTCATTTATGCTTTAGCTATGTATTCCTGCATGGCAGGGGTTGTATTAGGTGGTCCATGTTGCCTCTTTTGTTAGATGAGATTGGTTATGAGAGTATTATTGGAATGGCAGTGGTTCTCAACTTGTGGGTCCCAAAGTGTTTTGGCCTACAACTTCCAGAAATCGCAGCCAGTTTACCAGCTGTTAGGATTTGTGGGAGTTGAAGGACAAAACATCTGGGGACCAACAGGTTGAGAACTACTGAGTTAGAGCCTTTACTCCAGTCACATTGGTGGTGCCAATCTTATGATGGTGAGTTTGAGAGAATGAAATTGCAGCCAAAAAAAATTAACAGAATCCACAATAGGAGGAAGACTTATGAATGAAATACATTATTGGATAGCAATAGCCTGAGTCTTTCTAAACTAATTTAAAAAAAGAAAAATTTGGGAAGGAGCCATGTTGTGGCATGTCTTCCCTCCTCAAAGAGCAGATGGGAAAAGAGCAGAGGAGTTCAGTCTGCGCCAGGTTTTCTGTCACAACAGAGGGTAGACACTTAATTAAACCTCACTGACAATTTTATCAGCCTAAGATCCTTTTGGGATAGAGGAAGAAAAAGTAATCAAGAAAGGAAAACAACAGATCCTAATCCCTCTCGTCTAAGCCATATTATCCCAAGAACAAGTGCACAAGCTGGTTCTTCCAACACTTTCAACTATGATTCTATTAAATGCTTATTTTGAAAGAAAATGCATTAAGATGAATAATGACGTGTTGATTTAAAATAAAGATCAGTGGGGAAACAGAATATGATGTTCATAGTTATGAGTAAACAATGTAAAGAGTGGCATAGGCCAATTTGCTAACTTCTATTTCTGCTCCCTGGTGGCGCAGTGGGTTAAACTGCTGATCTGCTGAACTTGCTGACCAAAAGGTTAGCAGTTTGAATTGAGGGAGCAGGGGGAGCTTCCACTGTTAGGTCCAGCTTCTGCCAACCTAGCAGTTCAAAAATATGCAAATATGAGATCAATAGATACTCCCTTGGTGGGAAGGTAATGGCGCTCCATGCAATTATGCTGGCCACATGTCCTTGGAGGTATCTACAGACAATGCTGGCTCTTTGGCTTAGAAATAGAGATGAGCACCACCTCCCAGAGTCGGACATGGCTAGACTTAATGTCAGGGGAAACCTTTATCTTTACTTATTTCTGGCTTTAAAGCTGCTCAAGAGAGACCCACAGGAAGGGCATAGGACATGGCAGGGAGGACTTCAGATGAGGGAATATCTGTGCTCAAATATCCCTCACCAAAACGCAATTTGAATTAAACACCAAGACAGAGAAATAAAGTAACTGTGATGCATCATGTTTGAAGTGAATTTTTATTTGAAAATTTCCAAATGGTATACTTAACTTGCATCAGTGACGAGCAGAAACAGGAAACAACACATTTTTAAATCCCTAAGGTGTATAAATATGAACTGGACTTCACAGTTCCCCTGTCAAATTGGTTAAGACTTCAAAAGCCATTTCTCCCCATTCCACCTGCCCTGCAAGATCACTTACTGCAGTTCTCTTTGTGGAAGACTCATCAGATGCTATCAACACAGCCTCTGAGCTGAGAACTTGTATGAATCTGGCATGCTTCAAATATCAAGTGTACTCGGTTTATCGGGTACACAATCAACACGCCAGACAACTGATAAGATGCACTGCTTTCTTCCTGACTGAATAGCAGTCTCAGCATTAGCAGTGCTAGCCTCACAATCACTTTCCATTCTCACTAAGAGTTAAGAAACCCTGAAGTAGAGAAATGACATTTTCCCGAGCCTATCTCAGAATTCTATGCAAGATGGCTGAAATAAATAAATCCTTGCAGAATAGCTAAACAGAGTGGCCACTTTAGTGGCATCACCAAAACATGTGCTCAAATCTATACCCACCAGCATCCATGTTAAAAGTACAAATACAAAACTAAAGGCTGTAAATTTAAATTAGAACATGAAGCCAGTTTAGCTTCAGGGGATGTAACCATGAACATGGATATGATGCCACCCCCTAATGCCACAGAATTTTCCATTCTAGCACCATTCAGGTTTTGCAGTCAGCACTGTAAGAAGGTCCTGACTTTGCTCCTTTCTCACATTCTGTGGTTGGGATAGAAGCTGGGGATCAAACAAAAAGCTGGACCATTGGGTCTAGGAAGCTTTGCTGTGCTGCACTTTCTCCCATCAGTTGCCTACAGAGACAGAATCTCCAATTGCAAGGATGCACTTGCAACTTTAAAGATCTTGGCTATTATTTCTTATCTAAAATCAGCTACAACACAGGAAACATCTCACATACCACAGGCCTTCCCATGTAAGAGATGAACCCGCACCTCCTGGTTATGCTAAGGTAAAATTCCTATGGATTGTTATATTTAAACCAGACATAACTGGTCAGTTTGTCTTTTCCTCTTCAACCTGAACACAGTTTGTCTTTTCCTCTTCAACCTGAACAACCTGTCAACATCTGTACATTTCGGTGTTAACCTTAGGTCTAAGTCAGTGGTTCTCAACCTGTGGGTCCCCAGGTGTTTTGGCCTACAACTATCAGAAATCCCAGCCAGTTTAACAGCTGTTAGGATTTCTGGGAGTTGAAGGCCAAAACATCTGGGGACCCACAGGTTGAGAACCACTGGTCTAGGCTGTATCACTTTAGATTACAGGCTAAGGGTCTCAGGATTGAAAGATCTCCCATTTAAAATTATATCTCACTTTTCTCCCAGAACTGGAAAACAAGAGTATCTCCAAATACTGCTAAAAACCAATACAAATGTAACTACAGTAAGTTTCAATAATAAAGTACAGTTAAATAAATCATATTAAAACAACCACGTTGAAGCAATTTTAATACATATCCAAAAAAGGGAAAAGTACAGAACTGTCCATTAAAAGCCCCTTCCTCAGCAGCACTTTCCTGCATAATTAAAGAAATATTTTCCTACCCAGTATCATTTAGAAATCATTTCATAATCTGAGAGAAGCAACCAAAAAGGCCCTTACTTTTGTCATTAGAAAGGTTGTGGAAGATCTAATCTTCATCCTGATGTGCTAAAAGAAGTAAACCTATGTGTGTTTATTTTGTAGGCAATTTCCCATCATGTTGAACCCTGCTTTCAATCTGTGGAAGACTCATCAAAGTATTCAGACCTAGACAGGTTACCCGTATTTACTCGAGTGTAATGAGCCATCGAATCTAATCTGCACCCCAATTTTCAAAACCCTGAAACCAAAAAAAGTCTTTACTGATGAATGTAATATGAAACACCAAAAGGTGCAGTCTTTGTAATATGGCTATTACAGTTGCTGCCTGCACAAAAGTGTTAAGAGCACCAAAGCTTCCAACAATGGAAAAGAAAGCCTTGGGGTGCATCTATGCTGTAGAATGAATCCACTTTAATTGCCTTGGTTCAATGCTATGAAGTCATGAGGACAGTAGTTTTACAAGGTCTGGGGCCTTCTCTGCCAAAGAGTGCGGATGCCTCACCAAACTACAAATCCCAGGATTACATTGCTTTGATCTATGACAATTATATTACAGATGATATCCCTCAAACAGGAGCTCCAGGTGCTCCTGAAGAAGCTTCCCTTATTGCTTTGGCTCAGCACTAAGATTACTGTATTACGCAAATCTAATGCGCACCCTAATTTTATCAAGGTGATTTAGCCAAAAAAAGTGAGTGTTAGATTCAAATAAATACAGTATATCATTCCAGTGAGCCCTTGTCAACATTTCCCATTAAGATGTGAAAGGGCACATGTCAGCAACTCATCCCAAGGTGTAAAATATTTATTTTATGATGCTTTTATAAAAGTTCAGCAGCAACAGTACAAATCAAAGAAATCTCTTTTATCAATCCTGCATTCAAAGTGAAACCCTTGAATAAAGTTTGTTGACAACGTAAACCTATGTCACCTTTTGAGAAGGGTAATCTCTGGAGAGAGGACCATTATTCTGCTTTTTGAGATTACAATAATGTGAGGGGTAAGTAAAGGTACATTTGCTGGTTGTGTTGACCGTGCTGTGGGCCCACTGCTTCCCAACTGGAAGGCACATCTCTCTGCTTGCTCTAACCATGTGCCTCTTTATGGGATTTAGAACCTTCTGCACTAAGGGCTCTCAATGGCACCGGAAGTCTGCAGAATCTTGTTTTAGTGCTACACTAGCAGTTGCAATGTTACCAGGGTCCTGCCATGGCCGTAAGGAAAGGAAGACAAAATCTAAAATCTGAGATGCACCTGGTGCACTGCCTTATTTCCTGAATGGCCAGAGTGCCTGTGGCCTTCTTCAGTCTACTGTCACCTCAAGATCTCATGATCTCAGTGTACTACAACAGCAGAATTCCAGTCAAAGAGCAGGAAACTCACAATTGATACTTGTATCCCAAAAGCAAAAACAGATGAAGAGGATGGAGTGGGAGCCAAGTAAGACAAACAAACACATTCCTGCTCTTCTGATCATTGTATGAGGTTTAGAAAAGCTGAAGCTTGATAAAGTTAAGATAGATAATATATTTTCTGTGGTGACAAGACCAATTATAGAAAATAAATATGCATGTGCCTAATCCTGCCAACAAAGGAATGGTGATGGTTTGGCAGTTTGGTACACAAATGGCTTTCAAATGGATCAAAAAATATCTGAGCCATTGGTTCCCCAGCGCAGCACTGTCAGCAGCTTGGGCAATGTCTGACCCTAAATGGATGGGGTCTGTAGTGCATAGGTCTGGGATGCTGACCCCAGCTGCATCGAATCCAGCATATCCCCCAGTATTGTTGTAATCTATTATATCCATAGTCCCCAAAGAAAATTAAAAGAGGAATATTTCAGTCCGCAATGATGCCTGGGACCAGAAGTGACATACCTGTTACATAGCAACAAAATTCTTTACTCAATCTTACTCCCACCACAGATATGGTTTGTAGACTCAGAAGCAAGATAATATCCATTCAAGTCATAATTAAAAGTTTGCTTAAAAATAAAACATTTCTCTCTATAACAGTGTTGTCAGTTAATACAGGTATTCGTTTCCAAAGCAACAGGATATTTTGAGCAGGGTTTTGCCCAGTCAATATGGAAGTCCAAAGGAGAAGGTGACCCCCTCCAGTTATCTTTTCCAAGGTCATCACCCAGTTTGTCTAGTCATCCTCAACAGCCATTTTGGAAGCACAAATATTTAGCAAAGTTCAACCTGAAAATCTTCCCCATACTTTCTGATCAACTTCTCATGATTGAGAAGAAGACCCCTCAGGTCATCTTTTCCAAGGTCATCACCCAGTCTGTCTAGTCATCCTCAATAGCCATTTGGAAGCACACATTTTTAGCAGAGTTCAACCTGAAAATCTTCTCCATACTTTCGGATCAACTTGTCATGATTGTGATCCACAGACCACTGCTCTGGAAGATATTTGGGTTGCATAACATCCAAGAAGTGTTGACGCCAGCGTCTCTCCAGCTGCATGAGGGAGAGCAGCCCCCCTTTAGCAAAACGGTGCACTACTTTCAGGCCATGCGGCATATAGCTCTCATTAAAAATCCTGAAAAGATATAAACAAAACTTGGATTGAGATGATCATAGGGCCTCCTGGAGTGCCAAAGTACATAATGGACCATTAGGTTTTGGCTTCCTATCCACAAACCCATTCAAATTACCCAGAGCATAATTCTAGAGTTTTGACTATACTAAAAATTGACACTGATGATTGTGTCACAAGCCACGGAGACTGAAGTTCTGTCATAGGGCCAAGGAAAAGCTTTGCCAACAAAATTATGACCTTCCTTTAAAGATCAAGCCTCCATGGGGAAAGCCATGAGAGTAAAGTCAACTTGGAGCCAAATGAAGTAATTCCTATACTCAGAGCAAGTTAAGGTCTTCAAGTGCATATTCCTATGTAGCCAAAATAAACAATTTGTGCATAAAGCAATCAGTAGATTTGGGGGAACAAAAAGATTGGAAGAAGCACAAAAGCGTTTAGAAAAAGCACCTAAAAGGGAAAAGCCCTAAAACAATTGCAAGCTGAGAATGCTCAGTACACATAGACAACTGCTGAACATTTTGGAAGCAGGAAGAAGGATAAAATACAGTGCCCTGGAAAAAGGCACAACTGGTTAGCAAGAGCCCTGAACAGAAGCACTCCACAGTACAATGTTTTAAGGCAGGAGACAGAGAAAAAGGGGACTCTCCAGGGAACATACCTGGTTTCTAGCCCAGCAGCTTCCTGCAGCATTTCTGGGGAAACGGTTTCGGACTCAAAGTAATCCTTGATCACCTGTAACAACTCCTCTTTCCTGGCACTAGGCAGATTGTCTGCATTCAAGAGTGCCCTGGCTGCTGAACGGACCTGCCTGCGGATGGGATCTTCAAGGAGGCGGACCCCTTCCTCACAACCAATGGGGGCACCAAACTCCTCAGCTAGCTGCTGCTTGAGATGGTTATCATAGTAATTGGAGATCGCATGGCAGGCAGTGCAAAGGAGGAGCACATCATGGGAGCTGTGGTCTTTCATCTGGAGAGGGAAGTGCTTCCGATATTCATGCGGCACTATGTTCTTTCTGTTGAAAGAAACCACAATGGTTGGGAAAGGTTAACTGGCAGCAACTCAGTAGAAACCTGAGGCCCCTCATTCTTATACCTCTTTTCCTGGAAGAAAGTCCCACTAAACTCAAAGGGAGTGAATTCCAAGTCACCTGCTGCAGCCAGGATAGGGAGCCTTTGGCCCTCAAAGTACTTTGACTTCAACTTTCAGAAATCCCATCCAGCATAGCCAATGATAATGGATTGTGGAAAGTGCACCCCAAAACACATGGAAATCACAGGAAAGGTTCTCCATCCTCAATGTAAAGAATTATACAGCTTGTTTACTGCTCTCACTGTACCAAGACTCCTTTTAAGATATGTCAGGAGAGCCACTCTTGATGACTAATCTGTAACCGTACATTAGCATCTCTGGAGATCCGAATCCAGTTGGCTTTTAAGAAATGAGTTAGAACTAGAATGAAGGTTGAATCTTAGAAAGAGATATATGGCAATAAAGTGCCAATCTGCATGACAAACTATATTTGTGTGCCAATCTGCATGACGAACTATGTTTGTGGGACTACAGCAATCTGTAGGATGGAGATGCTTGACAGAAATACAACTTGCTTGATAGAAATACAATTTACTCATTAATCTGTGATCATTTGTTTTGTACTCCAACAGTATTGCTGGACTATGTATTTATTAATAAAGCTTCACATTATTTTATCACATATTTCGACAAATATAATCTGAAGTCCTAACCTTTATAACTCAGATTAAAGAATATTCCATCCAGTCTAACACCCATCTATATTTTCAGTAGTGGACTCTACTTAAGAAGCACTGGATTCCAGTGATCAAATGGATAATTCAAGTCGTGTTCACATATACATATTCATTGCATCCAATGCTACTTTTAATCCTTCAATACGTTCAACACAACTTCTATTCCATAGTGGACTGAAGACATTACAAATCTAGCCCCCTGTGAATGTGACAACTACCATATATACTCGAGTATAAGCCGACCTGAATATAAGCCGAGGTACCTAATTTTACCACAAAAAACTAGGAAAACATATTGACTCAAGTATAAGCCGAGGGTGGGAAATGCAGCAGCTACTGGTAAATTTCAAAATAAAAACAGATACCAATAAAATTATATTAACTGAGACATTAACTGAGTAAGTTAAATGCTTTTGAATATTTACATAAAACTGTAATTTAAGATACGACTGTTTAACTCTTATTAAACCATTATTCTAACCTTCTTCAATGTAAATGTGCTTATATATCCTTCCAATAATAAGAAAAAGAGTAAAAAAATAAATGTTATAACAAGAATAAATAGATTAAAATAATAAATGTAATAAAAATAATAATGGAGTAAAATAATGCAAATATAATAACAATAATGGAGTAATATAATAAATTTAGTAATAATAAATAGAGTAAAATAATAAATGTAATAAAAATAATAATAGATTAAAATAATGTAAATGTAATATATTGTTGCCTATGTATGTAAGCGGCCTTGAGTCTCCTATGGGGTTGAGAAAGGCAGGGTATAAATAAGGTAAATAAATAAATAATAGAGTAAAATAATAAATGTAATAATAATAATAATAACAGAGTAAAATAATAAATAACCTTGACTCAAGTATAAGCCAAAAGGGACGATTTCAGCTTTAAAAAGGGCTGAAAAACTCGGCTGTTACTCAAGTATATATGGTAAATGAGGATCTTTATCAAACCATTGGATTGCAGGCACAGTCCTTGCTCAATAATGCTTGTCAAGTTAACTCCTTCCCTCCCCGCTGCACCCTGTATACCAACTTCTGTAGCGTTTTTGGTTTTATTTTTTAAAATTAAATTAACAAGTCTTATTGAAAAAGAAAAGGTGAGAGAATTTTGTTGCATGAAAGTGAAGTATCCTTATAGGACAACTCACCGGATGTAAGATTCTGTTTTGCCACATACAACACACAGATTCTGTTTGACTGTCAAGTAGTAATCCACTTTCGATTCAGGACGCCCAGAAGGTTCAAACCGCAGTCTCACAATAAATGGGTCCATGGTCACCAACTCTGGCAGGGGAAAAAGAAGTAAGCTTTTTACATTTAGTTTCTGCAACATCAGGAATGGAGAATGTGCATGGACTACAGATGCTGGTAGACTTCTAACACTCCTCACTACTGGCTAAACTAGAGTTAATGGGAGTGATTTGCAGCAGAACCTTTCTGCTACTCTAGACACCAGCATTAGAAGTACTTAAAACCATGTCAGCTTTGTTTTCCTTGGGGCCACAGCCTGGGTTTGACCCTCATTCATCCAAATGGAGGCTGAATTATATCTGAAGATGATTTTTAAAAACCTGAAGGATGCAGGAATCAAGTGGTTAGAATGGGGTTATGAAGTTGCAAATGTTATATTACAATAAGCTGGGTAGAAAAAATTTAATGAATTCCAGCCGACTAGCCTATAGGTGCATCTCAAATGCACCTATAAAGTCCTGAATCATTATGCCAATTTATATTAAGTGGTTGAAAATCTTTTTCATAACTACAGATTTTAAATCACACAGACACACAAACATACATATATCTCTCATCAATGGAATTCCCAACTCCTTGTTGAGAGTTACAAAAAAAAATAGTTCACAAACCTCCAATGCCCTTGTCAAGGTACCACTGGGCTTTCTTGCGATCACATGTGCATAGAGGTTGTCCATCTGGTGCATGTAAGAAACAGTTGTCATATAAGGGAGACTTCCTGTGAAAACAAATGCAAAGAAGAGTAACTTCCCTTGTGAAAAATAAATACTTCCTCTTAGTACTCACAAATGCCTCTGTAATAAAGCTATATGATGCAGACATAATTGTCAACACATATACTTAGTAGCAAAACTCCACGGAACTTCAGAGTGTCAATCCAATGTGCATTTGTCATGAAGTTAGATCCCAATGAACTTGTAATGAACTGTCATAATTTCAGACCAACCAAACTGTGCAACAAAATTGAGGGCATTTATCAGAAATAAAATCCTACAATCCTTCCGCACAACATACAATTTCCATCAGTCATTTATCCATCAGGGAGCCATAACAATTAAGGAACTCTTTGCCTTGTGAGCCTAGCTGTGATCAATGTATGTTTGCCTTCTCTCTTCTATTTACAGTCTTCATCAGTGGCCACTTTTATGGCCATGAGATGCCACTGTCTAGTTGTAATAACCCAATTTTATTTCCCTCTTCCTTCTGCATTCCTCCTCTCTTTGCTATTGATCAGAATATCCATCACCAACAGACTCGATCATAGAATCATAGGGTTGGAAGAGACCTCGTGGGCCATCCAGTCCAACCTGTACCAAGAAACAGGAAAATCGCATTCAAAACATCTCTGACAGATGGCCAAGGCAGTTTAATAAGTCATGCAACTGCCTTGATCATAAAAATATGAAGGAATGGCTGATAATCACCAACTGGAAAACTAATTATTATTATTATTATTCTCATTTGATGTCTCATTTGATGCAGAGAAGGCCCTCTCAGTAAAAATATTCATGCACCTCAGCCAAGTACTGGGCTGTGGCACAGGTAGTTAGCAGCAGCATTAAATCATTACTGACCACAAGGTCATGAGTTCGAAGCCAGCCCGGGTCAGAGCTAGCTCCCAGCCATTAATAATCTAGCTTGCTGTTGACCTATGCAGCTGTTGACCTATGCAGCCAGTTGCATCTGTCAAGTAGGAAATTTAGGTACTGCTATATGTGGGGACTCCAGCAAAGGATCACCGCCTTGTCGGGGCGTTGGAGCTTGAGCACCTCAATGATGTCATGAGCGAAACCGTGAAGGGACACCCAAGGACTAGAAGGACTAGATTTAGTAAACAGAGTCCCAGAAGAACTATGGACAGAAGTCCGAGACATTGTTCAGGAGGCGGCAACAAAGTACGTCCCAAAGAAAAAGAAAACCAAGAAGGCAAAATGGTTGTCTGCTGAGACACTGGAAGTAGCCCAAGAAAGGAGGAAAGCAAAAGGAAACAGTGATAAGGGGAGATATACCCAGTTAAATGCGCAATTCCAGAGGTTAGCCAGAAGAGATAAGGAACTATTTTTAAATAAGCAATGCATGGAAGTGGAAGAAGACAACAGAATAGGAAGGACAAGAGACCTCTTCCAGAAAATTAGAAACATTGGAGGTAAATTTCAGGCAAAAACTGGTATGATAAGAAACAAAGATGGCAGGGACCTAACAGAAGCTGAAGAGATCAAGAGAAGGTGGCGAGACTATACAGAAGATCTGTATAGGAAGGATAATAATATTGAGGATAGTTTTGACGGTGTGGTGAATGAACTAGAACCAGACATCCTGAGGAGTGAGGTTGAATGGGCCTTAAGAAGCATTGCTAACAACAAGGCAGCAGGAGATGACGGGATCCCAGCTGAACTGTTTAAAATCTTAAAAGATGATGCTGTCAAGGTGATGCATGCCATTTGCCAGCAAATATGGAAAACACAAGAATGGCCATCAGACTGGAAAAAATCAACTTATATCCCCATACCAAAAAAGGGAAATGCGAAAGACTGCTCAAACCTCCGTACAGTGGCCCTTATTTCTCATGCCAGTAAGATAATGCTCAAGATCCTGCAAGGAAGACTCCAGCAATACATGGAGCGAGAGTTGCCAGATGTTCAAGCTGGGTTTAGAAAAGGTAGAGGAACGAGAGACCAAATTGCCAATATCCGCTGGATAATGGAGAAAGGCAGGGAGTTTCAGAAAAACATCTACTTCTGCTTCATTGACTATTCTAAAGCCTTTCACTGTGTGGATCATAATAAATTGTGGCAAGTTCTTAGTGGGATGGGCATCCCAAGCCACCTTGTCTCTCTCCTGAGGAATCTGTACAAGGACCAAGTAGCAACAGTCAGAACTGACCATGGAACAACAGACTGGTTCAAGATTGGGAAAGGCGTACGGCAGGGTTGAATACTCTTCCCCAACCTATTCAACTTGTATGCAGAACACATCATGCGATGTGCAGGGCTTGACGAATGCAAAGCTGGGGTGAAAATTGCTGGAAGAAACATTAACAACCTCAGATATGCAGATGACACCACGCTGATGGCCGAAAGCGAGGAGGAGCTGAGGAGCCTTCTAATCAAGGTGAAAGAAGAAAGCGCAAAAGCTGGGTTGCAGCTAAACGTAAAAAAAACCAAGATTATGGCAACAAGAATGATTGACAACTGGAAAATAGAGGGAGAAAGTGGAGGCCGTGACAGACTTTGTATTTCTAGGTGCAAAGATTACTGCAGATGCAGACTGTGGCCAGGAAATCAGAAGACGCTTACTTCTTGGGAGGAGAGCAATGTCCAGTCTCGATAAAATAGTAAAGAGTAGAGACATCACTGGCAACAAAGATCCGCCTAGTCAAAGCCAGGGTATTCCCTGTAGTAACCTACGGATGTGAGAGCTGGACCTTAGGGAAGGCTGAGCGAAGGAAGATCGATGCTTTTGAGCTGTGGTGTTGGAGGAAAGTTCTGAGAGTGCCTTGGACTGCGAGAAGATCCAACCAGTCCATACTTCAGGAAATAAAGCCCGACTGCTCATTGGAGGGAAGGATAGTAGAGGCAAAGATGAAGTACTTTGGCCACATCATGAGAAGAAAGAAAATCATGGAGAAGACAATTATGCTGGGAAAAATGGAAGGAAAAGGGAAGAGGGACCAAGCAAGGCCCAGATGGATGGATGGCATCCTTGAAGTAACTAGATTGACCTTGAAGGAGCGGGGGGGACGGCCGACAGGGAGCTCTGGCGTGGGCTGGTCCATGAGGTCACGAAGAGTCGGAGACGACTGAACGAATGAACAACAACAAATATGTGGGGAGGCTAATTTAACTAATTTACAATGCCATAAAACCTTCCAGCAGCGTGAATAAATATGAGGAAGTACTCCATCAAGGACTTGGTGTCGCAAGTGGATGATGAAGCGGCAGCTCCCCCTGTGGCCAGAATCGAGGATACCCTCATGAATTCGGAAAGCTGGAATGTTAAATTGCCTCTGTGTGTGTCTATATATGTTGTATGTCTAAATGGCATTGGATGTTTGCTATGTATATGTGCATTGTAATCCACCCTGAGTCCCCTGCAGGGAAGAATATAAATACTGTAAATAAAAGTATCGTAGTGCTCCACTGATACTTCACTCTGATTTTCAAGGATTACACCGCTATCTCTAGTGAGATACTTCACAGCAGGCAAAGCTTAGCTATAAAAGTTTGGCCAGAAAACTCTACTTCTTGGACAATTTTTTTAAAAAGATAGACTGATATAGACAACTACCTAGCAGAATATCCTACTCCCAGGGGTTTTCGCTTGTGCTTCCGAGGGTCTTTCGTTTGTTGGTTGACTGTGGACTGCACACTAGATTGTTCTTTAGGAGTCTTTCGTTTTTGCTCTGGGTCTCTTCTGTTTTCATCTTCTCCAAGGCCACCAAGGCTGTTTCTTCCTTTGAAGGGCACATCCACCAAGCCCTGACACTTCTTCAGAGCCTTTTCCCAAACTGGAAGAGCGTCTTCACTAGCTGCTGCAGGAAGGATGCAGGACAATCCCAAGAGATGGAGAAATAGAGCTACAGACACTTGGGCATCTCTAGCAGCATACGTAATCTGAGGAGAAAAAGCAAGAACTGCCCATTATATATGCAGTCATAGTTCTGATATCTGAGAGAAGTCAAATGCATATCCCTAAAGGGGAAAATAAGGAATGAGTAAAAATAAGAAACTGACATATATATGCTAATAACCTCCCAACAAAGGATTCTCCCAGGCAGGAAACAACCAAGGTTTGAAACTGAAAGGCTTTTCAATGCTAATCAAGGTAGTTAATTGCAACATTCACACTTGCCTCCAACAGACAAGAATTCTTTTTTTTCTCCCACCCTGGACCTTCCACATTTAATAAACCTCCCTTGTCTTAGTTTCCAACTGACCTCACAATGAAACATGCAGGCGTTTAGAACTTGCTTCGCTTGCTACTGTTTTTTACAATAATAATAATAATAATAATAATAATAATAATAATTTTTTCTCGTCTCTCCTAATGGCTTGAGGCAGGTTAAAACATTGCTAAAACACACAATCAAAACACATAAGCATTTAAAAACACTCCGTAAAATACACATATTAAGACATATTTCCATACAATACATATTTAAAAAACGCCTTCCTGGCCCTTCAGCTCCCAGAATTCCTGACCATTAAACAAAGTTGGATTGGAGGATCACAAGCTGATGAGGCTTTAAGTCACTGTAGACCTCAAGTGAATAAAGAATGGCCAAAAAGATACTTTAAAAGGGCTTCGCTCCCATCTTATTCTCAAATAATTTGTATTTCTTGAAAAGATTTGATGTCCATTTGGTTTTCTTCCCCTGCAACCTTTTTAAAAGAGAAGTTCAACAGTCACAATAAATGAGCAAGAAATGACAACAAGCTTCAACTAGAGCGAAAACTGTTCCAAAGTGATAGAAGAAGAAAAAACAAACAGACCTGTTCTTGTGCCAGTTCTTCTACCTCCCAATTACTGCAGCGGAGATGGAAAGACTTGTCAAGTGAGTAGTTGAGGATCTTCTCAGCAAGAGATTTCAGGCTGAGTCCATTTTGGGGAAGGGCCTTTCTTTAGGTTTTGCAGATATAGGAAAGAGGAGAAGGAATAATTATTTTCATCCTATCAAACAAAATGGCTTATATTTTCCTCTGATCCAAGTACAAAAGCTCAATCTAAGCACAGATCTAAATTGCCACTGCTATTAACTCCTTCCTGAAGTCATTTCACATTTGTAATTTTTAACTCAAAAAATGAAAAGTTACATATGTAACACAATGCTATAAACACAGGCATTTCAAAAGGAACTATATGGGGATGTGAGCTTCTAATGACACTTTCCTTCATTTCTCAAATTTCTAACATTATAGCAACTTAAATCTTTGGTTGAGCACTTAGAAATAACACATATGGTACCTTTGGAGTATGGTAGCTATCTAAAGAAAGGATGCTGGCAAAAGCATTCCAAAAGCCCTTGCAGACTACATGTGAACCATGGGCCTGCTATGTCTCCTATTTAAAAAGACTCATTTACATCCAACTTTTACCTGACAGCCCAGGTAAACAGATGCCATGTCAAGATACACACCTCTGTCTCATAGCCAGATACCGGAGGTCCACAGTTCCTTTGACTATTACACCATAGTCACGAAGTAACTTGTAGGCATCTTCCCAACATCCTACTCCAACTTTTAGGATGCTACCATTTCCTAGAATGTGAAGCAACGTCTTTGGAAGAACCTGTCCATCAATGGTCAGATGGGTCAAGCGAAGAAGAATACAAAGACCACTGGCGGCAGCTATTTGCAAGAGAGAAACGGGCTTGGCCTTCTTTCCATCTGCTGAGACCTACAGAAATGAATGGATTCAATTTGAACTGAATTATATACCACAGGAATGGAAGACAAACTTTTTTGGGGAAAGCTATTCAGCACTTTAGACCAAACCTATTGGGAACAGTGTTCACCTTCCCATCACAGCCATTGATAAGAGATGATGGCAGGAGTAGTCCATAAATGTTTAGGGTGTCTCAAATTCTCTAACTATGTCAGGAAACTTTTGGAAAATGTGAACCTCCATAACCATTTGGGAAAACCACTGGTGACAGGAAAGGCATGACCATGTTAAGTCTAAACTAAACTGTTCTTAAAGGTGCACAGATGGCTTCTACTCTCTTTAAGAGTCTAGTGGCTTCTAAAGCAAACACCTCCACTGACGTCTAAAGCATAACGCTAAAATGGAGTCTTGAGTCCTGAACATGCCCTGTTCTGACACCTGGTCTGCAGCCCCTCTCACAACAAAGAGGTTAGATGTAAAACTGCAAACCAATACACACATACTTATTTTATTTACTTACTTCATTTGTATACCTTTTTTCTCATTCAGGGCAGGACTCAAAGCGGTTTCCAACATATTTATGGCAAAAATTAATGCCTCACATATATAGGAAACCTAACACAAAACAACAATAACATATAACTATCAGATTACATATAATACAGTAAGCAATTATATATATAACAAATCACTCATGGAGGCTTGAGAAGGTTTCTATTTCCAAAAAAACTGCACTCTATAGTCTGGACAAGTTTTGCCTGATTGCAGAATGTGTAGGTCTGGCTAGGCACCCCATGCAATCTCAGCTGAACTCTGATCTTCAGGCAGTGATACACTGACAGTGATCAGCCAAGTCCAGCAGTCATTTATACTTTAAGCTCCTGTAATGGCTTCTCAACCCAATTTCAAGGTCTAACAGTGGCCAAATGTCACTGAGCTGAAACTTGTGATCATTGTAAGGTGCCAGGGAAACAGACATTTCTCACATCTCTAAAACTTACCCACTCACAGTCAATACCAAGAACTGGGCAATATTCCAGCTCTTTTTTCAGTAAAGGTTCCACCTCTTTCCATTTTTCTGCCTCAGAAATTACCACCACATCTGCTTTAACAATCTTCTGCACCCAGGGAATTGTGGAAGACGCTATAGATGGAAGAAAATCCTCTTCTGAGAAGCTTTCCTTTTCTTGTTTCTCAAGAGTTTCACTTTGATGAAGCCCAACGCATGCTTTGTCTTTTCGCCGTTGGAAGACTTTCCAAAAAACTAGCCCTCCTGCTGCAATGCCTAACAGGGTACCCACAGTAACAGCAACAGTTGTTTGTCTGGACATTTTTTTTCTACTCCCATGCACTACTTCACCTGCAGGGGAAAACATGGCAGGACATTGTCAACTTGTAACCTGAAAACAATATTACACTAGAACAATTAACATTGAGAAGATTTAAAGAAATATAGCTTATATGAAGGAAACAATGTTAACTTTATGGAAATATATTAAATCTTAAAATCATGGGGTGACACAGCTCTTAAGGTGATAATCTTGTATCCATTTAATAATAATAATAATAATAATAATAATAATAATAATAATAATAATAATGTTTATTTATATCCCGCCCCTTCTCCCCAGGGGACTCAAGGCGGTTTACAACACAATAATACAATACAAAAAGTGCAATACAGAAAATTACAGAGAATGGGTAAACAATTAAAATGTAATTGTTTTATATGTTTTAAAATGTTTTAATGTATGTTATAACTCTATTTTGTTGTTGTTCATTTGTTCAGTTGTCTCCGACTCTTTGTGACCTCATGGACCAGCCCACGCCAGAGCTCCCTGTCGGCCGTCACCACCCCCAGCTCCTTCAAGGTCAGTCCAGTCACTTCAAGGATGCCATCCATCCATCTTGCCCTTGGTCGGCCCCTCTTCCTTTTGCCTTCCACTTTCCCCAGCATAATTGTCTTCTCTAAGGCTTTGCTGTCTCCTCATGATGTGGCCAAAGTACTTCAACTTTGTCTCTAGTATCCTTCCCTCCAATGAGCAGTCAGGCTTTATTTCCTGGTTGGATCTTCTCGCAGTCCAAGACACTCTCAGAACTTTCCTCCAACACCACAGTTCAAAAGCATCTATCTTCCTTCGCTCAGCCTTCCCTAAGGTCCAGCTCTCATATCCGTAGGTGACTATGGGGAATACCATTGCTTTAACTATGCAGGATCTTTGTTGCCAGTGTGATGTCTCTACTCTTTACTATTTTATCGAGAATGGACATTGCTCTCCTCCCAAGAAGTAAGCGTCTTCTGATTTCCTGGCCACAGTCTGCATCTGCAGTAATCTTTGCACCTAGAAATACAAAGTCTGTCACGGCCTCCACGTTTTCTCCCTCTATTTTCCAGTTGTCAATCATTCTTGTTGCCATAATCTTGGTTTTTTTTACGTTTAGCTGCAACCCTGCTTTTGCGCTTTCTTCTTTCACCTTGATTAGAAGGCTCCTCAGCTCCTCCTCGCTTTCGGCCATCAGAGTGGTGTCATCTGCATATCTGAGGTTGTTAATGTTTCTTCCAGTAATTTTCACCCCAGCTTTGCATTCATCAAGCCCCGCACATCGCATGATGTGTTCTGCATACAAGTTAAAAAGGTTGGGTGAGAGTATGCAGCCTTGCCGTACGCCTTTCCCAATCTTGAACCAGTCTGTTGTTCCGTGGTCAGTTCTGACTGTTGCTACTTGGTCCTTGTACAGATTCCTCAGGAGAGAGACAAGGTGGCTTGGGATGCCCATCCCGCCAAGAACTTGCCACAATTTATTATGATCCACACAGTCAAAGGCTTTAGTAACTCTATTTATATATCTGTAATTTGTACATATCCCGTGGCTTTGTTGTGTTGCCTACTTGTAGGCTGCCTTGAGTCCCCTCTGGGGTAGAGAATGGCGAGGTAGAAATGCCGTAAATAAATAAATAAATAAAACATATCCAATCAATATAAACATAAAACATGACACCACAAATAACAAAATAACTATCAAATTATGAACATTTTAACAAAAACAGTTATTTCCTATGAGCTAATGGCGGTTGCTCCTCCAATCGAGATAGTATTTCTCCATATCATAGCATATCTCCGTATCATAGAGATTGACTAATCACTGCCAAAAGCCTGTTTAAATAACCAGGTCGTCAAGTTCCTCCTAAATGCTTTCAGGGTGGGTGCTTGTCTGATCTCCCCAGGTAGGGCATTCCAGAGTCAGGGGGCCACTAATGAGAAGGCCTCTCCCTCATCTCCACCAGCCTTGCTTGCGCTAGAGACGGAATCATGAGGAGGGTCTCCCCAGCTGAACGTAAGGCCCAAACAGGTTCATAGGGTGGCGGGGGGGGGGGGGGGGGGGGGGTGAGGTTATATATTCAGCTGTTTGGAAGGAGCCTTAGCTACAAGCGAAGACTTCAGGCTAAAAGTGTTACCCATCTCTGAGCAGCAGGTAGCTCTCATGTCTACCTTTGGGAGAAAAGAGGCAGGGGATCTAAAATAACACTATGTAACATGATTTTTGTTCCTGGGTTATAAATGAAATTTCCTAATTGATTCTACCATAAAAATGTGGGAAAAGTTTATTAAACTGCAAAAAAAATGTTTTTGTGGGACATCCCGCAGCACATTTTGCTATAGTTTTCAATGAATATTTCAGCGTATCAACCAGTTCCAATCTGTCACTACCTCCAATGGGTAAAAAGAGAGCAGGACTTCCTTTTAATTCACAGATTGGGACCAAGCCCCTTTATTTCAGTTGGTGAATCTCTGGGCAATTTTCCCCATGTCTTCTGTTTTCCTTGCAAGTGCTATCAGCTATCTTATTTTCCCATTACCACTTCCTAAACAACTGAGCTCATTCACTCAGTTTAGTCAAGACTGAAATGTACATCAGAACAGAATAATATATTCTTGCATCTGGGCTTCAGCCTTAGCATGGAGAAAGAGTTGTACTTCTCACTATGTACATGTTAAATGCATTAAACTAGTGCAACTAATGATAGAGAAACATCAAAAGTAAAGCAATGACTTGTAGTGGTTTGAGTGATGAACTGTATCCATCTACACCAGGCATGGCAAAACTTGGGCCCTGCAGGCGTTTTGGACTCCAACTCCCACAATTCCTAACAGCCTACCAGCTGTTAGAAATTATGGGAGTTGAAGTCCAAAATACCTGGAGGACCCAAGTTTGCCTGTGCCTGATCTACAGTCCAATTAATGCAGTTTGATGCCTCTTTAACTGCCATGGATCAATGCTGTGGATTTCTGGGATTTGTAGTTTCACAAGATCTTTAGCATTATCTGCCACAGAGTGCTGGTACCTCACCAAACTACAGCTCCCATGATTCCACAAAGATTGAACCATAGCAGTTAAAGTGATGTCAAAATGAATTAATTTGACAACGTAGATATACCTTATGACTCTGGAGACCAAGGATCAAATCCCTGCATGGCAGGGTGACCTTGGGTGAGGCACACTCTCTCAGCCTCAGAGGAAGGCAATGGCAAGTTCCTTTGGAAGAAATGTTGTCCAGAAAACCCCACAAGAGAGTCACCATAAGTGAGAAATGACCGGAAACACACAATAGCAAAGAAAGCAATAGAAAAGGGAATGTTCCTCGCCAGGCCCGTAGCCAGGATTTCGTTTCGGGGGGGGGGGGGGGGGGGGGGGGGGGGGGGGGGGGGGGGGGGGGGGGGGATCGGGGGGGGGCTGATTTTTTTTCAGGGGGGGTTTCGGGGGGGCTGAGTTTTGGGGGGGGCTGAGTCTGAGTGAAAGAGGGTCTAGCCTAGCAAACCTTTTGTATCATTACCACAATACCCCCATGCATATGGGATATATTGAGTATGGTGATCAGATCATGATATGAATAAACATAACAGTTTAAATAATGCACCAGTAAGGCCTTTTCGCGAACCACCATGATAATTTCGGGGGGGGGGCTGAAGCCCCCAACCCCCCCCCCCCCCCGGCTACATTCCTGCGTCGGACACTTCCCAAGTAAATAATACATGCAGATCCGAGTAGGGTGGCCCTTTGCAGAGGCTTTCGTGGCCAGAATCAATAAAATCATAAAAATCAACAAAATCTGGTTACCAGTATTTTAAAACTCTAAAATCTGGACAGTAAATAAAGAACAACACTCAGAAAACAGGAGAATTCCATACAGGAAACAATCAGGACCAGCTAACACCTCCCAACAAAGGATTCCCCAGACAGGAAGCAGCCAGGCTTTGAAGCTGCTAGGGTATTCAATGTTAATCAAGGTCATCAATTGCAATATCCACACTTGCCTCAGACAAGAGTTCTTTCTCCCACCCCGGACGTTCCAGAGATATATAAACCTCACTTGCCTAGTTTCCAACAGACCTCACAACCTCTGAGGATGGCTGCCATAGATGTGGGCGAAACGTCAGGAGAGAATGCTTCTGAAACATGGCCAAACAGCCCGGAAAACTCACAGCAACTCAATAGTAAGGTCCTTATTCCATCAAAGGAAACTCAGTTTTAGAGAAGCTTTTTAGCTGTCATAATAAGGCAGCAGCTTCGAAAACCCTTCCTGTACTGAAAGTTATGGCGAGACTTGCAGGAAAGCAAGCGGTACCGTAAAGCTTTAAGTAATCTCATGACTCCCTAGTGAAGGAAAGTATCGAGCTACTGATAATATACACGCATCACTTCTACACATACACAGCCCTCGTTATAAGAATCTACATCTATCAACAAAAGTAGCTCACGCGAGTATTTACCAATTCCTGTGCCACGCGGAACTCCTTCGCCACAGCGTCTGCGCTTCCCGGCCGTTATTTATAACCGCGCGCTTCCGGGTTTGCGGCCCAAACCAAGAAGGAACGTACGTTTGTGCTCCGCGAAGCATAGGCCGCTGCCATATTGTACGGCAGTGATGCTTTCGCTGCTTCTACGTAGGTTTCTCATCTGTCGCTCAAGACGGCGGTTCAAACAGGCACGCCTGCGCAGGCTGTAGTCCATTTCAGTGACTAAAACAAAGGGCAGTCATGTCCATTAGCGAGATTGACAGTTGACCGCTCAGGCATTAAACTTGAGAGCCGGGAATGACAACTGAAATGACAGCTCCCGAGGCGAGCGACTCGTAAAGCCAGGGATGGATCAACCAAAGGAGCGGGACTCGGTTTGGCTAATGAAGCCAGCGGTGACGTAACAAGGGAAAAAGCAGGAAGTCCATAGAGAAGCTCAGAGTACAGATACAGCAGGCATGGGCAAACTTGGGCCTTCCAGGTGTTTTGGACTTCAACTCCCACCATTCCTGACAGCCTCAGGCCCCTTCCTTTTCCCCCTCAGCCGCTTAAGCTTAAGTTCCGCTTAAGCGGCTGAGGGGGAAAAGGAAGGGGCCTGAGGCTGTCAGGAATGGTGGGAGTTGAAGTCCAAAACACCTGGAAGGCCCAAGTTTGCTCCCTGAAAAAGTACAGATTCCTAGCAGAAAGTCCAAAATAGTCTACATTGTGGCTGAGAGAGTGATGCCTTCATTTTCCAATAGTTCAGTAGACACACTCTTTGTTTCGTGCACAAAATAATTGGGGCTGCAGCTAGCACAGCGAGTTAAACCACCAGCAACAGAAGATCTTGCTGACCTGAAGGTTGGCAGTTCAAGCTGCAGGTTGGGGCGAGCTTCTGCCAGCAGCCCTAGCTTCTGCTTACCTAGCAGTTCGAAAACAGCAACGTGCGTAGATAAATAGGTACTGCTTTGGCGGGAAGGTGAAATTTATTTTTTATTTATTTACTATACTTGTATACCGCCTTTCTCAGCTTTATCAGCGACTCAAGGCAGTTTACAAGTCAGTACACATAACAACAAAATACAAATTAAACATTAAAACAGTATAAAACCACAATAGAAGCATTAAAAACAATAAAAACCAACATTATCATCAGCATCTCCTAGTTAAATAATGTTGTCCAAGTTCCATTGTCAAGTGATTCCATTTCCTATGTTAGTTACTGTGCATTTGTAAATGCTTCCTCATATAACCATGTCTTGTCTCCAAAACGTTAAGAGTGAGGGAGCCGATCTAATCTTCTTAGGGAGTGCGTTCCATAGCCGAGGGGCCACCACAGAGAAGGCCCCATCTCTTGTCCCTGCCAAACATACTTGTGATAAGGTGGGATCGAGAGCAGAGCCTTCCCGGACGATCTTAAAGTCCTTGATGGTTCATATGGGCAGATGCGTTCAGACAGGTAAATTGGGCCAGAACTGTTTAGGGCTTTATAGGCTTTTTTTTATTTCTCGTGTCAAGGCAGCCAGTCAGTTATATTACATTTCTAGGCTAAAACAGCACTTTGAATTGTGCCCAGTAACGGACTGGCAGCCAGTGGAGCTGGCGCAGCAGAGGAGTTGTATGCTCCCTGAGCGCCGCTCTTGTTAACAATCTGGCTGTCGTCCGTTGGACCATTTGAAGCTTCTGGACAGTCTTCAAAGGCAACCCCACATAGAGTGCATTGCAGTAGTCTATACGGGATGTAACCAGAGGGGGTATTACCGTGGCAAAGTAAAAGGTGCCCCTGAAGATATGCCAGCAATTCGATCAGGACAACAGGCTCCTTGGCATGAAAAAATGAAACAGCACCTCCCCATGGCCAAATCGAGCATAGTCTCCAGATGCCGAAGATGAAAAAGAGGGGAAACCTTGGCTCTGTTTGTGTAGAATCATAGAATCATTGAGTTGGAAGAGACCTCGTGGGCCATCCAGTCCAACCCCTTGCCACGAAGCAGGAAAATCGCATTCTAATCACTATTACAACACCAGCTTTTTCTTCCAAACATTTAAGATGGAACCTTAGAATCCTTCAACATAAGCAAGATTCAAGGTTAGAATGAAGACCTTAGCATTACGAATACTTAGGACAGTGGTTCTCAACCTGGGGTCCCCAGATGTTTTTGGCCTTCAACTCCCAGAAATCCTAACAGCTAGTAAACTGGCTGGGGTTTCTGGGAGTTGTAGGCCAAAAACATCTGGGGACCCCAGGTTGAGAACCACTGACTTAGGATGTTTGGCAAGAACATTATTATGGCCGGGGATGGGGTGGGGGTGTTTTTTAGTGCATCAGTGTGTGATACTAATGGAACTGTGGTGGCATGTCAGTTAAGATTCCTATGTCTTTATTATCATCAATGTTGGAGATTTAGTACCAATCCTATCTTAGTCCAGTTGTCATGACCATACCCTCCAACTGATGAGTCCTGTCATCCCAGTACTTCAGATAGTTTTTAAATGTCCCAGTTTTCCCTCCTCCTCCTCCACCACCACCTCTTTGCACAGTTCCACTAGTGTAAGAACGGAGTTCAGACTGCAAAAGTACCTTGCACTCAGCTACTTTTCTGTAGGATCAACAAAGGCTGGATCTATTCGGACTGCATGTTATGGTCAGTGTAGATCAGGCAGTTCGAACTGCATTTTATGGTCAGTGTACACCGGATATGAGCAAACTTTGGCCCTCCAGGTGTTTTGGACTGCAACTCCCACAATTCCCGGCTGTTAGGAATTGTGGGGGTTGCAGTCCAAAACACCTGGAGGACCAAAGTTTACCCATGCCTGGTGTAGACCCAGTTGGAATGGCATTGAACTGCATTATATGGCAGTGTAGATCCAGCCAAAGGTAAATGGATGCAGACTCTCTGAGTTTGTGTGTTTTTCTGCATCAATTACCTTTGCTATCTTGACCACCCTTTGATGTTGCCTGGCCACACATGTCCCAGTTTGCATGTGTGACATATTGGAAGATATATATGAGATAAGTACAGGCTTGACACAACCGCAGCAAAGCCTTGTTCTTCATGGCATCACTATCACAAACAAGACTGGTAAATGTCAGATCCTTTGACTGCTCATCATGCCACCCAGGTAACTGTTTATTCAAGTGTAAATGTTGAATTAAAAATAAATGAAAGTAACTAATGTTTGAGCTCATTTATGCAAATGAGGAAAAATGAAAGCGAGGGGGGGGGGAGGAAGATGTCAACCAGACATTAGTTTATGCTTATTTATTTATTTGTTATTTACCATATTTGTACCCCGTCCTTCTCACCCCGAAGGGGATTCAGGGCGGCCTCACAAAGGCAAAATTCAATGCCATATACACATACATATAGGTAAATAAACAACTGCATTAAAATCAGCCCAATTAAAAACATAAACATTAAGACATTATAAGCTGCTGCATTGGTTTAAAACAGTGCTGTCTCTTTTCTTATTCAAGAGTTGGGATGAAATGCAAGAGTAGATCAATTGGGTGACATGTTGAAGGGAAAATCAACACTGAAGCAAATCCAATTGATTCCATGTGGTCAGTTTGCTAGTTGGGACTAAGAATTGCATCTATGGGTTGTTGTAGGTTTTTTCGGACTATATGGCCATGTTCTAGAGGCATTCTCTCCTGACGTTTCCCCTGCGTCTATGGCAAACATCCTCAGAGGATCATGAATCAATACTACCTCTGAGGATGCTTGCCATAGATGGAGGCGAAACGTCAGGAGAGAATGCCTCTAGAACATGGTCATATAGCCCGAAAAAGCCTACAATAACCCGGTGATGTTGTAAAGCCTTCAACAATAAATTGCATCTATGCCTTGAACTAAGGATTCTGTACAATAAGAGCAATAAAATAAATCTTAAAGCCATAACATCCCAGAAAACAGTGGCAATGCATCAGGCTGGAGGGAGGGATATTAGAGGCAAAGATGAAGTACTTTGGCCACATCATGAGAAGGCAGAAAAGCTTGGAGAAGACAATGATGCTGGGGGAAATGGAAGGAAAAAGGAAGAGGGGCCTCCCAAGGGCAAGACGGATGGCAGTGACTGGCTTGACCTTGAAGGAGCTGGGGGTGGCCATGGCTAACAGGGAGCTCTAGCGTGGGCTAGTCCATGAGGTCACAAACAGTCAGAAGCGACTGAATGAATAAACAATAGGATAATGGGGAGATTAAGTGTACATTCACACAGCTGTAAGTAGAGCTAGATATTAGTCATTATTAAAATATCCATTCATTACAGTATTATATCTACATATTGATGTTTGTAATAGTTAAATTTAATTAGTGACAGCTGGCCTCAAATCTGAATGAGCGGTTCTTTTATCGTAGTTTTTCCCCCCTAAATCTAACTTGTCAAAAAGACTTGCTGCAAAAGTTAAAATATATCAAATTTGCTCCTGCTTATCAGTGAGTACAAATGACTTCAAAGCATTCTCTAAACAGACAAAGTCAAAGGCATCAATATGACATTTTTCATGAATCCTGTTAATCATCTCTCTGCTCTAATATGTTTTGCTTCTTTCACTGCTGCCATGTGGGGATTCAATTATTTTTTGGCGTTTGGCAGATCCAGCATATGCTTTCCCCTGGTTAGCAGATGCCTAGGGGTTCCTGTCTTATAGCTGCTTAGGCTCATTCCTACAGCCTGGATTCCCTTTGACTCCCAGTGACCTGAGTAATGTGATGCCAAGAATTAAGTGCAGGCATAGGCAAACTTGGGTCCTCCAGGTGTTTTGGACTTCAACTCCCACAATTCCTAACAGCCTACAGAGATCCTTCTCTGCCATGATTCCATACTCTTTGTGACAGTTAAAGTGGTATCAAACTGCATTAATTCTACCATGTAGATGCACCCAAAGTCAGGCACACTTCCTATTAGTTCCAAAGTCCTCAGTTAGGACTGTTTCTCTTCCTTTTCCTAATAGTGAGTCTTTTCGTTATCCAACCTGCCAAGTTTGGCACATTTCCTGAGAAATCCCTCAATGAAAGAGGGAAGGCTCCAAGGGCTCCCTGCCACCACAATCCTCTTGGTTCGAGCATCCCAACCACAACAATCAGCTTGCCATTTTCCCTTTGAGGAATACAAAACACGTCAATTAATTTCCCTGGAGTCAGGGCAGCCCACCCTTTCGAAATAGTATACTATTTCCCATTTTTAATAAGGCTCAAAGTGTATAAAGGGAGCAAACCTTTATTTCCCACAGAGATCCCCAAAAGTGAGAAAGGGATCAGAGGCAGTTTGATACCACTTTAACTGCCAGGGCTCAATGAATCCTGGGAGACGTAGTTTTATAAGGTCTTTAGACTTTTCTGCCAAAGAGTGCTGGTTCCTCACCAAACTACAACTCTCAGGATCCCGTAGCCATGGGCCCTAGCACTTGAAATGGTGTTAAAATGCATTCATTCTACA